GTCGGGGTGCTGCAGGCACCCTATAAGAAAACCCCCTCAAAAAAAAAAAAAAAAACATGATGCATTTTTGCATAGGAATACAGAAAATTACATCATGACTTTCCTGACAATATTTGCCCAGAGTAAGAACTATCCTGCCTGAGGTCACTCTCCTCAGAACACTACTGCTGTTTTCACTAGAATAACCCCCAGTGTCTGTAGACCTACTGAGTGCCCAGCAGCCACCCTGGCTATCACCAGACTGCACCATGTATCACCACAGTCTACAGAGTACCTGCAGGATGAATTACATTATATTTCAAGTTTACTTCTGTTCATTCTCCACTGATATTAATGGTTGTCTATGTGTAAGACTCTTAACACATGATTTAAAGGGACCAACAGTTAGTATAATGGTTATGTCACGGGACTCCCATGTAGTCGACTGTGGTTCGCATCCTGGACCTGGTGGCTTAAAACACGCTGGACAAGTGTGAGTGCATGTCCAAGATCTCAAGAGGAGAACGGAGGAGAAGGGATTGTGGTGTGGCCATCCCCCAAGGGGGGTGATTTCCTGCTTTCTGCCTCTCTGTCTTTCTCTCTCTGTCTGGCGAGCACACGTACCCTATAGCAAAAAAAGACCTCTCCAAAAATAAATGAATAAATAAATAAACAAACACATGATTTAGAACCTCTGTTATGTCACATATTTTGACTGGCAATTCTGGGTTCTTTCCTAAGTCTTAAGATAAAATACTTAATGGGTGGATGGTGCAATGGGTATGTCACTGGACTCCCACATAATCTGGTTTGAGCCCCAGACATGACAACATAAAACTCATGCTGGGCACATGTGTGTGCATGCATGCCCAAAATGCCTAAAGGAAGATGGAGGAAAAAGGACTGTAGCAAGGCCAGGTTTTGTGATTTCTTGCTTTCTGTCTCTCTCTGTGTCTCCAGTCAGTACATGTGCCCTTTAGGTAAAATCTCTCTCTCTTAAAAAAAATAAAAATACTTAAAGGGCTCAGTCAACAAGTGGCATGGTGGTTAAGGTGCTGGACTCCCACAGTTTGACTGGTTTCAGATCTGGGTCTGGTGGCTTGAGAATCACACAAGGTGTGTGTGTGTGTGTGTGTGTGTGCATGTGCATGCCCAAAATCCCAAGAGAATGGAGGAGAAGTGACTGGTGTTGCCATCCCCCTAGGGGTGAATTCTCACTTTTCTCAAAAAACTAAACAGCAACAAAAATACTTGATAGGCTCTGGTAGTGACTTAATCATCTTTTATATTTTCTCAAGTTCCAGGTCAGGCCAAAGATCTCTCCTGAACTTCAGACTCATATCACCATTGGCTTCCTATTTCTATGTGAACATACATTTGTCCTGTTGTCCTTGCTCCCTTGATCTCCTCCTCATTCTGGTCTAATATCTCAATAGATGGCAGCTCCCTCTATGTTGTCATTTAGCCCTCCTTCCAGGAAGAAAACAATTTCAAGAGTTAAGAATCCACCCAGAGACAAGTCACTGTATAGTTGAATTGGAACCTACATGGAACAACTGTACTAAGTACATATTATAAAGAAAGCAAAACCTTGTCAGACCATGGTATGGGGGTTAAAGTGGCTATCTCCTACATGGCCAAATGCCTGGTTTGAATTCTGGACCCAGGACATTGAGAAACAGATCCAGCTAGTGTTCTTACAAGCTCAAGATCCCAAAAAAAGGGAGAAACAAAGAAGTGATTGCTGCCTGATCAATCCCCATAGAGTGAGGGCAGTGCTTCTCACTTACCTGCCCTCTGTCTTTCTCTTCAGTGAGTGCATACAGTCTTTGGTAAAATTAAAAAACTAAACAAAACAAAACAAAAATCAGAAACAAAACAGAAGACTGAAATCTTACCTTGATACACACGAGGCTTTACCTAAAAGAAGGAAAAACAAAACTAAATTTGATACCAAAACATATTATTAGGAAATATCTACAGTTTCTGATAAAACTTGTCAAAATACTAACAAATGAAAATATAACAATTTGTTATAAATAACAAACTCATGGGATTTCAAGTAAGAAAAGGTCAGGAAGAGATTTCTATTTAGGTGGGAATACTTCATAAGCCATTTCTGATAAAGAGCATAGAGATAAATGTTATTTTTGTTTATTTTCTATTAAAGGAACATCAGCCTATCTGATTTGCATAAGGGAAATGCAGACATCTCATAATTTTTCTGCTAACTAGTAATTTACTGAGTTTTTGATTCGGAAAACTCAGTATTTATAATAAAGGCTAGAAGTGGCTGTCTCACTTGATAAACAAAGTGAACAATTTACATTCTATCTACTTCAAGGACTCTCAAACTGAGGATATCCCAATCAGAAGGAGAAGGGAAGACAGAGAAAATGAGCCAACAATATCATGATTGGCTTCCTAATTATTTCTGGATAAAAAGTGCTTTCCAAACTCGAGTCATTTCCAGAAGGCATCACAGAAACAGAACTAAAAAAATCCAGGCAGGCCCTTATCTTTCTACCATGTAAGAAACATTTTCCTCACCCCCTAGAGTGAATTCTTCTTTTGAAAGATTTAAGTGCTGATCAGGTACAGAGTCTAGACAATAGAGTCTTGCCGACATATCAGACTACCATGACAGCATCAAAAAGCCATTTAAAAGAAAGTTGTTATGAGAAAATGCCAACAGAAAATCAAGGATATTCCTTGACTTTTGGAGCTTGCTCAGGACACACTGAACTTCCTGGCCTCATGTCACCCCACCTGCAGACAGGGGTATAGAGGTAAATGGGAAGACCAGTGGTTCATAAACTATTTCACACACTCATCCCCCCTCCTACACACCTTCCCTGTTTTGTTCATGTGATTTGTCACCTATTGCAATCCAAAAATACATAAGGATGATATGGTAAGACAGGTTGAGCAGGAAGAACCACTTTCATATATCTTTTATCATCATATATTATAATTGTTCTCTTTTATTGTCAGTTATTGCTGTTTAATTCTTCTTATGCCTAT